CCTTGAGCCGGTGAGATTAGAACCGCTGAACTGCAGATAACAGTCAGCTGAAGTGGCCTGCAGTACTGCACCCTAACCACTGCACCACCTCCTTTAAAAAGGATCGTTGTGGATCTAAAGACCTGGCAACAGGATGATATTAGAAACTGGAAGAAAATGTCTATGGAGATTCTCAGGTGCTTTTCCAAAAAGGCAACTGGACTGTTTTTTCCTTGAGGAGGAAGAAAGCATTTCACTTCTCATCCAAGAAGTTTCATCAGTTATAATGGTGGGGAAATGGAAGGATAGGCACTGACAAGAGTGAAATCAATTTACCTTCACTACCGGTTTGCAAATGTGAGCGCGTTGTGTAGGGGTTTTCTGTAAATTTCAAAGTTAAGGCTTCTGTCTTCTTTAAGTCTAACTGCTATTTAATGTGCGTTGCACAGTCCAGGAAAGCAAGACTGTTTTCTTTAACATGTTCCCATGTGAACTAAATATATACAGCATGTCCACAGAGTTGATATGTTTAGTGAAAGCTTCCACTTCCTGTGTTTCAAACTTGACCTAAGTATGGTCCATATACTTATACCACTGGTATAATATACTAGTGAATGAGTGGAAAACCTGTGAAGGATTTTAGGACTTTGGTTTTTACCTTTTCCATGTGGAGATTGGCCACAATGGGGAACACAGGTGAACCCATGGTGCAACCATGTTTTTGTCTGTAGAAACCTTCATTGTGTTTGAAATAGGTAGTGGTTAGGCAGAGGTCCAACATGGCACATATGTGATCCGGGCTGAGGATAGTTCTGTTGCATAATGTGCTGTCTTATAGCAGACGTTCCTAACTGGCCCTTCATCAAATCACTCTGGTTTATGTGATCCTGATGACACATGATCCTGATTGGCTAAAGCACGGCTGGCTGAGCACGGGCTGCAAGAAGCACTCCCATTGGCCGCCCTGCTTGACAGCTCCCATATAAATAGCTGCCAAGCAGGGCGAGGTGCTGAATTCTGCCTGTACATAGTTACTAGTTCTGTTTACAATAAATTGCTGTTCAACTCACCTCAGCCACCTCATGTCTCGTCCATCCTTCCAGGACTTTAGGACCGGTCACAAGTCGAGGACTTAGCACAAATAAACCCTCAAGTGGCCTCAATGGCTTTCTGAGAGTGTGCTAACAACCAGATGACTGCAAAGAAATAGTCCTTCCATTCCCCCTTGTACCATCCTGTCAGAACCAGGGGTGGGTTTCGACCGGTTCGCACCGGTCCCTGCGATCCGGTTGGTCGCCGAACCCGGAAGTAAGTAACTTCCGGGAACGGCGAAGCCCCCCCCCCCCGCGCCCGCGCGCGCCCGCACACCCACGCCCGCTCCTTACTCGGTTTTTATGAATTCTGCGCTTCTACGCATGCGCAGAACGCATACAGCGCCTGC